GCAGTTGCCTTTCACTGTAAGCTACAACCCTTCCATTTCCTCTTCCTCTTGTAACCCTTCCATCTTCTATTCCTCTTGCAGCACTTTCATCACCTCTCCAAGCCCCAACTACACCTCTTCCTCTTGTAACCCCAAATTATCCTCTTCCTCGTGCAGTCCCACCAATGTTTAGTCCACCAGGTAGACCAGAAACAACAAGCAGGTGAGGTCTACCTCATTGACCTCTTACTTGACCTCTAGCCGTAAGTGTTGCCTCAGTTGCTTTGTAAGTTTGAGGGTTGTGGCCCATTTCTTCACACATGCTACATATAAGATGTTGCATTTTTTTGCTAGCTACACTAGATTTAGTGACCTCATCTGGTGCCTTTCTCCTTATCTTTTTAGGTCTGCCAGCTATAGATTTAATAATGGGGTATATGGAATCAATGCCAACTTCAAGTTGCAAGTGCCTAAGGGGGGCATAGGAAATATAATAGGGCTATATGTCCTCAAATATGTCTCCCCGTGAAAACAAATGTCAACATAATTCTCAGGATGCCCCCTTTCCGAAATTATACATGCAATGCATGGATGCATAGTATATTTCTTACATTTCATTCCCAACAACTACATGCTCTATTTTTCAAATTAACTCCCTCATTAACACCTTTGTAGTCAGGGGCGGAGCTACTAAAGGGCTAACCTGGGCTACAGCCCAGGTCCAAAAAAATAAATAAATTTAGTACTACTACCTGTGTTACCTGAACGTTGAGTTGATGCTTGTGAAGGATTAGAAGTTTTTTCACGTTTTATTTGTTAAATCAATTGCTATTCAAACTAATACAAAGCTCTCTAGCTAAAAAAATGGAGGTCAGGTTAGAAACCATCGTCCTTGAAAAAAAGGTTGAAGACGATTATGTGACACACTATTTTTGCACAATTATTTATTATTTATTATTTATTATTTATTCTTTATATCTGGTGTAGCGTGATTTCACGCAATTGATTAGTAAGGGCCCAGATGATGCCACCTTGCTGTGATGTGAATGGATGCAGACTTTTTGTGATACCCCTCGGATCCGAGACATAGGTTGATCAGGCCCAAGCCCAAGCCCAAACCCGAGGGAATATCAAACAATTAATATTTTAAAACAAACACAGAATATAAAAAGAATTAAGAATTTAAATAACCAAGCTGAAAGAATTATGAAATATAAAATCTTCCAAATAATACTGAATAATAAAACTCCAAATCTCCAAAACTGCCAAGAGTACAACTTGGGAATCCATTTAGTGGACCCCTAAACAAAAATCCCATCTGAACTAAATACTGAAAATAAAACAAACTAGAACATCGAGAGAAGCCCTACGTAAGCAGATGAATGAGAAACTGTCCTTAACAAGCACGATTAAGCACTAAGGCTGGAACCGTCCTGTACCTAAAAAGAATCAAAGAGTGGGTCAGGCCCACGAACAAGTTCTAATCTAACTGCAATTCATACAGTGACCCGATACGCAGATACACCCTAGATACCTCACAATATCTATTTAGTCCATAAGTATATATATATCCACACTAAGGGACATTCACTGGACTATAATAGGGGTCTAAACCTGAATAAAAGGTAATATGCGAAAACACACCCATAGGTGGGCATGAGTACCTAGACCTAACAGGGTATACCTTAACTTACCATAGCCAGCTACGCATCCACTGCATATACGCACCCTAACCAACGAGCCTGAGACTCAAGCTTATCTCGTGGTACCATAACCATATATCTAAAGTCCGTCCAAAACCAAAGTATGTCATTCAATTATTCACTGAGGTGACATACAAAACACAATTCAGTTAGTCACTCAACTTATTCAGTTGATATGACTTAACTACAACCAACCAATCCCGTAAGTCGTTCAACTTAGTCAGTTGATCTGACTTAAACACAATTTAGGATCCAATATTTTACAATCCATTCCTTTAATCCGGTAGGTTAGGTCTTAGCGTTTTGAGTTAAACTGTCCCTAGTATGCCACCGTCCCATACCGGTGCATACAATCCTCCATATCTATGTAAATTACAACACATAAATAATAGTTTAGCAATTTACAATCCAAAACCATTATCCAAATATTTGCAGAAGAATGTATAATATTTCAGCAATTAAAATCTAGACGGCAATCCATGTAATTATAGAAAAGAATTTAATATTTCAACAATTAACATTCAGAGCATGCATAGATCAAAACCAACAAATAGATGACCCCACCATCATGCACTTAAAATATGTTTTATAATCATACTATATCCCATTAAATTGCTAAAATTTAGTTAAGAAATCAATTTGTCTTCCATACGTTAATAGCGTAAAAAGTTGTATACTTTTCTATTGTTCCATCCATTAGCCTGTGGGTATAATTTATGACATATGAGGTTTTAGTAATTCATGAAATTATATTTAAAACCCTCGGTACATTTCCAAAATTATTTCAGAATACCAAACTAGTCCCAAACAATGCCCAAAAGTCCAGATTTTACGAAAATAAGGGAGCCTGCTCTTAAACTTGTAGAGCAGGCTCCAGAAATTGGTGGAGCAGGCTCCAATATTTATTGGAGCCGCCTCTAGATGGTTAAAGCCGGCTCTACACCTCCTAGATGGGTAGAGCCGGCTATACACTTGGGGGGAGCCGGCTCCCTTCTTCATGGAGTCGGCTCTCTCCCTCTCTGAGAGCCGTCTACTACTTTCGACTGTCGTCTTCGACTCCGGCCACTTCCAGCCTTTCTGTTTGGTTTTAAAACTGTTCCTAAGAGTCTTATTAATACCCAGTAGCATCCCAATGGTGTGCTTATAGCAGTTGGAATCAATTACAGAGATTAAAATTTCTACAGACTTAACATGCTTTAAGAAACAAAACTGAAACTAGACATGCACGAACTGTAACAGAATAGATTTCAACACATACAGATCATCAATATAGCATATAATATACATGTAAATCTCAGTTAATGATCAATTAGAGACTATCTAGGTGCACAGAACACGAGCTAACGGGAAAGAGGAAGAAAAGAACTTGCCTGTGATTTCAATTATGAAATCCCGGCGTCGTGTCCACGTTTCCGGCAACACTACAATACTGTCTAGCCTCCTATTACTTCTGCTCCTCCCTTCTCCTAGGTCTAACCTTTAAGCCGCAGTCGAAACCCTCACCGAACGTATTCTGTTTGCTCAAAACCCCTCTATGTTTCTCTTTGTAACTTTGAAACATGAATAAAGGTTGTGTATTCTAAAACCCTAAGTCGACAAACTGTTCTATATATATAGAGACTTAAATAAAACCCTATTCCCTGTATGATAGAGACAGAGCCCTAATGTCGATCTTAGTCGGCCCATAGAGCAACCTAAGATAATCCATGTGGGCTACACATACTGACTTCCTAAAGGACTCTAGTTAATTAACGTAATTTAAAAAAACTCATTTAACATATTTACATTTTAATTAATAATTACTAAATTAATCCAATTAAAGAACATACAAAAGACAATTAAATAAAACAATTCAATTACTGAAAACAAGAAATCTATTAATGCAATTTAAACACATGAATAAACAATTAAACCAATTAAATGCAATTTAAACACATAACACATAAATCAAATAACAAATTAAAACAATTAAACAATTAACAAATAAGCCAAATAATCACACAAAATACAATAAAACAATAATTAAAATGCTAAAACTATTCTTTTAAAATTAGGGTATTACACTTTTGGACTTTTAAAAACTTCAATGCTTACAGCCATATCCCATTGTTCACAGTTGTACCTTTATATTTTCCTTCCGTAAGTACCATAGAGACTCTTTGACCAAGACAAAAATATTCTTTGGCTACCAATGGACTGTAACTGATATAATTATTTTGGGCTTGTTGGGCCTTGGATGGCTTTATGTTTCAAGGAGTCTCTTTCCGTTTATATATATATATAAAACTTTTAATATCAAAACTATAGGAGACATATTTAATTGATTAGAAAACAGATGTATATCCTACATGAAAACACTTAAAATTCTTTTTTCTTAGAAGTGTCCAAGTACCCGGGTCCAAATATTAGACACTTTATAGCCGAGTTCCCGAGTCCTTCAAATCGTTAAATTGACAAATCTTACCATTAGACACGTATCCGTGTTCGACACCCATTCTCGAGCCCAGGTAACATAGACTACTATTGTGCTTCAGTTCACAGCCCGGTTCATATGCAATATTCCTCTTAGCCCAGTCTACTTTGTAATCTTGGCTCCCTGTTTGTAGTAAACCTCAAATATATCTTGACATGCGTTTTTGGTATTGTAATGTTTGTAGTCATCTATTAGATTCTTCAACTAATATGTTATGATAAGGCACAACAACCCACTCCCTTTTTTTATGAAAACCGATACATCAAATAATTCGAATCCATCCAACATGGTAATGAGTGGTTTATCCCTAGCCAGGAACTAAGTTGCTCACTTTTGAAAGTAACCGTACTGACTTGCTCACTTGTTTATTCTAAAAGTTCAATTTTAACTACAGAAATTTTAGGTGCTAAATTTGTAAAGAGAGAACTTGTTCCACTTACAAAAAAAAAAAATGGCTTACGTTTTTTTCTTTTTGATAGTTTAACTTTAAATGTTTAACGTCCACATAAAATTTATCGAACTCTAAACTAATTAATCACTTAAGCAGCTAATGCATGCACATGCCCACGTTGAAGAACTGAAACAACATTTCTTCATTTTTTTTTTTTTTTTTTAAAATTAACCTGTGCTGTGATATCCAAGGCTTTGCCCCCATGAAAGGAGCCTCTCCACCCGGACGGGTAAGTAGCACAACTAACATTTCTCATCAACATCATTCAATTTGCATCCATTCACAATCATGCTCGATTCCTTCCTATTCTATCAAAGCTAACACACACACATGAACTGTGAACGGAAAATTTATCAAAGAGATGCTGATCACACTCAAAACAACACTCGAAACATACAGGAGACCGAAAAATATTAAAAAATTGCAGCGTTTTCCAAACATGTACATAAACGTTCACACATATACAATGAACATCTACAAAGTGCAAAACATTCTACCTATAAATCATCAGTACGAAATGATTTTGATTTAAAGAGGAGAGAATGGCAGTAGGAAAGTTCAGCACCATAGAACTCCACGCAGAGTCGCAATTGCAAAAACGTCCAATCAATGAAAGAGCAAGCTCAATAACCTGCAAATCAGTACATAAAATCAGATCAACTTTCTTAACATCAATCCAAAACTCCGTTTGGTCATTGAGAAAACATGAAGAAATAGAAGAAACCAAAAGTTTCCCTCTTCAATGGCCAAATCAAAGATTTAAATTTTAGAGAACCTCGGTGGTAGGTAATTTTATCAAACAGTCGTTAATACGAGTTCCTAATTTCTTATCAAACTCGACAAAAACCAATCTTATCCGCGCCAGACCCTGCATTTTAGAGGATTAATATCAGACTCGACAAGCTGAAATGCTTTTAATACCTCTTTTTAGCTCTTCACAATGCTGTCGACAAAGTAAACCCATTCAAGACAATTATAACAATCATTCCTTAAACTAATCAGATTCTACAAACATGTAGCAAGCTTATTGTTTAAAAGGTATAATTGTAACACTATTCCTGTACTAAATGACACTACGCTCTTGCACATCAATCTCAATAAATATTGAACCGTATGTATTGGGAATCCATGGAAATTTGGAACTCAAAAATACACCAGAGGATCACATTTTGGGCCTAGAAACCTAAAGCTTGGAGGTAAAATGAGTTAAAAAAGAAGATTTCTCCAAGTATGGAGGGCATAATGAGTTACACAACCAGGATTTACTAAAAATTGAATAAATAAATAAATAAAATAAAAAGAAGCATTTCAAATTGAAGATTATGCAAATATACCTCCAGGAATTTTGCCAAAACCGTACCACTTGGTTGCACTTACAGCTGCATCATAATCAAATGGGCGCCGGAGCTTTATCAAAGAAAACCTTATACAGCTAGGCTACTGGTCCACAGAGTGCTTATACAACTGCAAATAATCAGGGAAAAGAGTCGCATAGAATCTATATTACAATTGGAGATTGTAAGAATGTGTAGCGCCTGCCTTAACCTATACCCCATACAGCCGCCAGAAAATCTCATATATAGCCTATCTCTTTCTATATACTAGCAACGGGGGGAAAAGGGATGTTCATTCCGCTGTCAAAGCAGCTAGGGCTACGCCATTGAAGGCAGCGACAACTGGCTTTTCTCTTGAGTACGTCTCAGAATACTAGCTTGCACCTTGTTTAACTTGCAATTAGCAGCAGGGAGTTATCGATGAAGTTGTGACGAACTTCTGGGTCAACCAGTCACCCGATAGTATAACAGATACTTAGAATAAACATGTCTGTACCAGTTGCTGCTTGGGCACCGGCACATTCAGATACTTCTTGACATGTGTTCAACACAATATGAAATGCAATCATATTATGCGAGTACGAGCTGGAACCTGAACCATATTTAAAACGGCAACAATAACTCTTGGGACATATTGGAGTTTGCAGGATGCAAATATCTAAGCAGGTTAATGCTAGCATTAAAGTGAAAAGGTCAAGGTGGGCGGAACTTTGATGAAAAAGTAAACAGTTCAAGGGAACTTTCAAAGCTTTACTGGCAACATTTTTCAGATCTTCTCAAGCATAGTGTCTCCATTAGCAAAAAGTAAAAAAACTGGAAACAAATCAAGTTGACAATATACACACACACACACATATATAGCAAATGCCAAACTGTATACAGCTGGGACCAACGAGTTTCTAATCAATAAAGGGCTAACACCAAGGCTTAGCATTAAAACTCATCCTTCTTTAACACAAGCATCATGAAGCAAAATTCTTTTCTCATCACAGAGCTTACCCCGAAGGTCCAGCTGCAGATAAATGAATATTATATTTTCAGACCTTAAATTAGAAATACAAATGGCACCATAGGATATATATCACGACAATGGCAAAATTAATTACTTACTGATTTTGATATACTTGCTAGGCCAGGCAATTGAATCTCCATTAGCATGTCCAAGCAAAAAGTAAGAAGGATGAGGCCTATACAATGGCACTTCGGGTTCAAATATGTAATTGACCAACACTTTCCAACATTCGGAGCTGAGAGCAGCACCATTTACAAGTAAAGTAGGATCCAAGGAAACAACTTCACCGGTAGCAACAACTAATCCCGTCCCGTCATAATACAATAATTCACAATTTACCCCTTCAAAATTTTCAGTAGATGGGACACTTGGTGAACCATTGGGACAGGATTGGTTGTTAGCATTCTGTGCCTATCATGGAAAAAAGAAAGAAAACAGTAAAATAGGATAATTAAAAGTAATTGAAAACAATAAGCATCAGTTGACATGCATTGGCTTCGATTTCAGCATTGGGTTTTGAGAAGTTGTGGCTGACTAGTTAAATGCTATGAAGTGTTTATCAGTCACACCAAATAAATTGTGTATATGAAGCATCTATTACCTTTACTATTCTATGAGTTGCATCAACTTCAGCTTTTGCCAATCTACGTGAGTAATTAACAGACTAGACATTAAATGGAATGTTTAGACATTTGTTTCATCCTTTCCAAAGCTAATTCTAATTCAATTTGATAGGCAGTGAAATTTTACAGAGGAATCAAAGCATTCTCTTTAAAAAGTATGACAAAGCATTCTTATTATCACTTACCCACGACGATTGGATCTGTTGCATTTGTTCCCTAATTTGTTCCCTGATTTGCTCCATTTCAAGCCCCATTTTTTCACTCATTTGCTCCATTTGCTCAATCTCCCTTTCATATCTTTGGTAATGTTCCTGCACAATAGATTTTTGAAATTTGCAATAAAAAATACATAGGATTTCACATGATGTTGCTAAAATGAGAGTGTTGAAATTCAATTTTCTGTGAATATGAAATAAAGGATTAAAAGGCGGCTTGAAATTCACTTTTTCAGCAGCCTACTCCACAATGTGAACATGGGCATTTCATTTTATATAGGTCATGCAACAAGCATTCAGGAATGTAAAATTGATTCCTAACATGCAAATGAATGGACTAGTCCACATAAACGAGCTTCTCGTGCAACACGAATGTAACGTGTGCCATAATGCCAAAGAAAGACGGTTGAAAGAACCTTTCAAACATGCACAAAGATCCGACAATTTCATTTTCAAATCTTTTCCAACTGAGTCCTATTAATCACCCTTTGGCATATTTCATAAAAATACGCGCATAGGAGAAATATAGCAATCCTCAGACCCCTTGGTAGTATCCCAAGTAAAGCTACAAGCAGGGACAGAGCGGGGAGTTCATTTAAGGGGAGTAGAAAAAGGAGCTTGGTCAACATTGTTCTCTACGTACCCTCTCGCTATTCCGATGATTCCCCGTTGCACCTATTCTCTGCAACCGTCGGTTTAGATCCATATCAGGTCACCTTGCTTAAATTCCCAGATTGTAGCATAGGCCTAGGAGATGCCACTCACGGTGTAGGTTCCGTAGCACGTCATGAGCACCAGACTAAGGGGCAGTTGAGCGAACCACTCTGCTTTACTACAACATAAGGAGAAAAGGGAGAAGTTTGTGAAGGTGGCTTCGTTATCCACACTTCCGGTCGGATGAATGGAGAAATACTTTAATGCTCCTGTTATATTGATGACATGGTATCACCAACTAATTAAATGTTGACATGTAGTGATAGGACCTACTAAATAAATGCATTTTTCCTTATGTGACAAGACTAATTAGTTGATAACACCAATGAAATGGTATCATGGGTGCGGGAAAGTCTTTCTCAAATGAATGGAGGACCAACCGACCGAGGTTTTCACTGGCATTGGTGGGTTTTGGAATGCATGTAACGATGCATCTTCGGTAATAGTTCACGAGCCTGAAAAATGACCTTAGCTCACTCACCTTGGTAAGTGTTTGCCACTCCTCGATGCCTCTGATGCCCACCCAATGCCCTAAGAATAGGATCTTCGTCTGTCCAAAGGAGCATTCTCTTTATTTACATAGAGGTGATTCTTCCATAATACCTTAAAAACGGTCTGGAGGTGGCTAACGTGGTCGTTTAACGAATGGCTTTGCCAGGTTCTAGGGGGCTACTCTTTGTTTTGTTGATCGAGCCTCTCTCCGTCATTCCACTCTTCCAGCCCCCCCAATAGTTTGATCAGAGGCATCCGTTTCTACCTTGAACGATTTATCAAATAAGGAAATTTTAGCACTAGTTCACTCGCTATTGCTCTCTTTAGCTTCTCAAATGGCGAGAACTATGAAAGATGGCCCTCACATACTCGTGAATGGGGCCTGCTTTAGGCTCATCAACATGGCAGACCGCAGACCACAACCGAGCAGGCTGCGGGAACCCTCCATTCCGCCTTAAACTCTAGCTCTTGGGATATATGACATTCTTGATCCTGAATACCTTTTTTAGCACCGATGAGGTGAGATACGGGACATTCCAAGTACCATACTGCTTTGTCATAGGCTCTTCTATGTCATTTTTCTTGCTTTAATCCGTCCCACCATTCCTGACTCTCACTTCAAAGCCCTTTCCCATTCCCTTGTACAGACATTACAAGGCAGTTTTCATTATGTTGTTCTTTGCAGTGTGTCTACGGAGGTTTGGAGTGAGTTAAGCCAATGCGTACAAATAGTCAGACTAGGCTCATCCTTTTATGATGAGGTCAGTGCACCATCGACTTAGTCAAGCCTTTCATTTAAGGCCATGGTGTTCCATTTTCAAGGATAGTCGGACACCACAACCGGGCATTATCCCTTACCAACCAACTCCCGTCTGAACTAGCTTAGGCTTGACTAGCCAAGCAGATGAACGACCAACATTCCTTCACATCCCACATTTTGATTTGTATGAGTATTTCACATTTACAATGAAATATAGGAGGATTGACCCGCTTTTTATTATTCCACTCAAAATGATGCTGCCTGATCCACTAATTCATGGGAAGAGACTGAACTCTGGTATTTCAAAAATGCTTCAGAAGGTATCTTTGAAGTAGATGGCAATGGAGGACGACCCCAACACTCGTATCAGTATTTTGAACGAAACACTCAGTTTCCATTTCGGTTGTTCCCATCCACTCTGGGCATAGCATTACTAGCTGTACCTCTTGAGCAGCTTTCGGCCTTAGGTCCTTGGCTGGTAAACGACGCTTAAGCGGGATCTCGGTGCTTTCTCTTGAAAGAATAGAAGGTGAATTCAAGTTGTTATTCACTCACTTCTTTATAAAAATCTTCCACCCAAGCCCAACCATTTTATTAAATAAAATGTAAGCACTGTGATTTTGCTATTTTGTTTTGGTCTACCAACAGCTAGAACTCTTTCAAAGTCGATATAAAGGCGGCCTCTGACACTATTAACTGGAACTATAACATAGCTTGCCTCCATGCCCTAAATTTTCCTCAAAACTTGATTGGATCCATATGCACATTTTCCTCAAAACTTGATTGGATCTATATGTGCATATCTACTCCTGCATTTTCTGTTGCTACTAATGGTGAGCTGTGTGGCTTCTTTCAGGGTAAAAGAGGGATGAGACAAGGGGATCCCCTTTTTCCCTACTACTTATGTGTCCTTTGTATGGAAGGTCTTTATAATAATAATAAAAAGATATAAATAATAGAAAGATATAAATCAAAAGATTCGCTGACTTTTAACCAGTTGCTCTACTTTGTCAACGTTACTAAGGATATAGGTTCGCCTACCCTAATGAGTTGAAGGCCATATCAACAGTGTTGGGCTAAGGCTCTCTAACCAATCTTAACTTTGTGATTTGAATAATTAAAATATATTAATTTACTATTTAACTATTTACTTGAGTGTAGTGTATTTCAGATAAACACATAAGACTCGGGTACAAAAGAAGGATCAATTTGCTCTTCCCATCAATCAAGGAACTCAACCTACAATCAGGGTTCAAGACTTGCACAGTTGAGTTGATCCATGGAATCGAAGCTAGCTCAGACTCTCTCCTTAAAATCCAAGGTCTTGGATATCCAAAGAATGAAGCCAGAGCTGCTCATATCCAGAGAGTGAAGCCAGAGCTACTCAAGTAGGGGCCTTGGTACCGCTAGGCCACAGGCCTGTTGGTTTGTGCTAATTTTGACTTAGTTAAAGTTCTTAAGTTAGCATCTTCCCATTTTACCTTAGGATTAAATATTGGAAGTAGTCTTGTACATTCCAGTAAATAGGCTCACTTGGGTATAGGACGCCTTATGAGATTAACACATCTCTGCACATCATCTGATGCTTGCATAATGACGTGTCTTGATGAGTATATATTTGTCCTCACTAATCCTCATCACCGTACCATATACCCACGCCTAGAGAATAGCTTCCTAAGTAAATCTCATCAGATTTAGCTTCTGAGAGAAGATTTGATCTTAATTCTCCCGAATCAGATCTCAATGGTAGTTCTGTAAATCCATTACCACCTCACCAAGATAGCCTTAGCTGTCAACCCACTTGTCCGCTCCTGCATTAAATGCCGCCGAAAGGACTGACACCCACTTGAGCTGAAATGATTGCTCAAACAGTTCTTTTATTTGAATTGGTTTGAACTAGTTCGAATTATTTTTAATCTGCTTGACATCATCAGTGAATTTGAAAAAGAGTCAGACGCTGTGACTAACACTTGTCCTCAAGACGCACTCCAAAGACATCTTGCACTTGTGTCCCTTTTTAAAAACTGATTTTTATATCCAAACACACCTCAACCTGTTCAAACGGCAACAATTCAAAGGGGCTATAAATACCCTTCTTCCTCAACATAATAGCTTGAGAATTACTATACTGATCTATATTTTTACACATTGTGAATTTCAAGTGAATCTTGAGTACATAAACCAGGACTCAAGTGAGTTGAGTGTTTTAAGTGTTTTTTAATACGGCATCTTTAATACTTATGAGTTGTGAGTCATTTCAAGCACGCCTTTTTAAGTGTTCTTGTGAGTTGAGTGTGAGTGAAATTGGGTACAATAACCAGTACTGATGTGATACAGAGTGTGAGTGAAATCTATTGACTATAAGATATAATAAATTCAAGAGTAATTGATAAAAAAAGAAGTCATCATCCTTCCACCACATGCATAAACTGACTAATCACACTAACAGCGTAGGCAATATGCGGGCACGTGAGAGATAAGTAAATCAGTCTCCCAACCAATCACTGAAATCTTCCCACATCATCTAATGGGTCTCCATCTACATCATTAAGCCTATGGTTCTACTTAATGGGAACATCAATAGGTTTGGCTCCAAGCCTGCCTGTTTCAGCCAACAAATCTAACACATACTTCCATTGAGAAATGAACACTCCTTTCTTCGATCTGCACACCTCGATGCCAAGAAAGTATCTCAATGATCCGAGGTCTTTAACCTTGAACTCTATCCCCAAGAATGATTTCATTCGACGAATCTCTTCTGGATCATTTTTAGTGATAACAATATCATCAACATATACAATAAGGGCAATGGTGCAGCCCTGGTGCTTCTTGATGAAGAGAGTATGATATGCCTGACTCTGTGTGTACCCTACTCTTTTCACAGCAGTGTTGAACCTCTCAAACCAAACACATGGCGACTGCTTTAACCCATACAAGGCTTTTTTAGCTTGCACACTAAATTATGACCATTGGCAAGCTTAAACCCTGGTGGCATAGTCATATACTCCTCTTCCTCCAAGTCACCATGAAGGAAAGCATTCTTTACATCTAGCTGATATAAGGGCCAATCCAAATTAGCTGCCAAAGAAAGAAGAACACATATAGAGTTCATCTTGGCAACTGGAGCAAA